TTTATAAAATTTAATGTGGTTTTAAATCTAAGTCATCGTCACTCGTCAACTCTCACTGTATCAACACTCAACACTCACTGTATCTAAGTAACTGGGGATACATCGGAGATGCGGGTGCGGTTCAGGTCGAGGGAGTCGATTCTTTGAACAGTCAAAACATCGCTATTATTATTATTATTATTATTATTATTATTATTATTATTATTATTATTATTATTATTAATTAATAATAATAATAATAATAATAATAATAATAATAATAATAATAATAATAATAATAATAATAATAATAATAATAATAATAATAAACCGAGCGAAGTGGCTCAGGGCACAGCGCGCTGACTTCGCAGTCAGGAGGCCCTAGTTTGATCCCGGGGCCGGCCATTCTGACCGGGGATTTCGTGGTTTCCCTTCAGTCAAACACGAGAATGATGGGAAGGTTCAAAAAGGCCACGTCCACCTCTTATCAGCATCCTATCACCTCATAATTCAAGGCTTAACAACCTTGTCTTACGAAGGGATACAGCTAAAAGCTAATCAAAGACAATGACTGAAGGAACAACAAGTTCTTGAACACCTAAGGAAGCTTATACCCAATGTTACTCTAGATTCGTCAGAAAATTTATGGGAAATCAACCGACATTAGATTCGAAATTATTACCATGATGTGTACTGTGATTATATTAATCTGTGCAATTTATGTTATTACTATGGAAATGTGAGCTGCCGTTTATATAGTAATAATAAGACAGTGTATTTCGACCACGATTGCCTAACTGTTTGTATTCACTTGCAGCAGGTTCACATTTTGCCGCCGGGTGGGTCCTCCCGCTGGAGCCTCTCCAGCGCGGGCGGCGCCGCTGCAGCCCCAGTTCGCCTTGACGGCGACAAAAGGAGTCGTCTATATAGATCGCGTCGTCGCAAAAACAGGCCATTGTGCGAGTGGCCGCTGCGCAAGAAGCTAACCTTGCGTCTCGAATGTTCTGCCTCCGATGAATCTCCCAAGAATTTCTATTACGCTCGCACACCACGCAGAGGAGCTATTCAGAAGGAGGGAAAGAATGGGCATGTGGCATGCCTACTTCCCCAACCAAAAAATAAAATTTTGTAGACAAAATATATATTTTGCTAGAAGGAGAAAAGCAAAATAGAGGTCTTCCATCCTTGCAATGGGAACTGATTAGTAATGGCGGAACCCATTTATACGTAATAATAATAATAATAATATAATAATAAATTAATTGTAATATTAACTATTACGTAATAATCTCCATGATCAAAATTACAAAGGTGCCATTCGTCTTTACATTTTGTAATTAAATACGCGAAGAGAGATTTCAGATAAAAATCACCGTCTGCTCTTCAAGAAGATGAACTTAGAATCTTATGTCATTTTACATCGAACTCTACAGCAGTTTCTCTAACAATTTCTCCTCTTCTCTAACGTCACAATGTACGTAGAGGTGCTACCAAAATTTAAATGAATTGCCAACAAAAAATATTGTATACCTTTTTTAAATCCAAACAACGAAAATCCTACATTTGAGAAGTGCCAAAACTGATAAGCACATTATGATCATCGCGGGCTACGCTGGGATAGTTCCCAAAATCGCCAGTCGGATGTAAACATTTAATTGCATTCGCTGACCTCCCCAGTCTATAACAGAGCTTCAATTTCTTGTCTTAGTCAAGAGCCTATCGAACAGAAAAAGAATGGAAAATATGTATTTAAAAAATAAAGAAACATGGTCATAAAAACCTTTCAAATCACAAATTGCGTTTCTTCCAGCTAAAGAAATTACCTTATTTTCATAGAAAATAACATATGCTATTGAACAATTGCAAACCAACTGAAACTAACTTGAACTACCAAAACTATCTCCAACAATTGCAAACCAACTAAACCCGACAGAAGTTAGTCTTCAGAGGGCGACAAAGTCAAAGCAAATATTTGAGACTTATAAATATATTATGGATGTTCAATTTTGGTCCCCAAATCTCTCACTCTCATGCCACCATACCATACAACATTTCATTTTTTGCAGCAGCGATAGCACGCGTCCGAAGAGAAGCTCGCTGTCGGTCCGTCACGCCACGACGCTGCATGTACACACAACTGTTGCGGTTGCGCCAAGAGCATTTCCAAGCGGTTGAAAGGCGTCGGCTCGCGTATTTGGGTCTGTCTGTCATTCGGGGTCATCGGCGCGAAGAGAAACCCCTTCTGCGTATCTGCTCCTTCGAGACGGGAGCTTCTGATACGCGGCCAGAAAGTCCCACCGCGGCGGCGGCGGCACAAAGAGGAAACGCGATTCTGCGCGGCCCCGGCAGCACAATCCGCAGGATGGGAAACAAAACGAGGACTTAGTACACACGTCCCGCTTTTTGTTCGCTTAACTCTGTTAGTTGCAGTCTCCATTCAATTCTAAATCTATTCCAGTCGGTTTGTTATATAATGGTGTTTCTGCGGCATGAAGGTGACCTGGTCGATGTGTCAGGGTTGAACGCACTAGTCTCCGCAACGTAGTTTCGTTGTTCTAATACGAGAGCGTGTTAGTAACGCTTCTGGGCGTGATATAAATCAATACAAGAAAATGAAAGGTCCAGAGGCAAAGAAGATGACTAGTCAAAGCCAACTTGTGCATAAACTCAACTCGACTGAATTTCAGCTGTGATCGCATTCGCTCTCCTCCTGCCTACCCCTGGTCCAGCGAGGCCGCATCTTAACAATGGGATGTGGGAGGCCTTGGGTGGGTGCCACTGCGCATTCAAGGCTGATCACATGTATGGGCGCACTATCCTGCCTACATTAAAACCATTCAAGGGAAGGGAATAATGGCTTCTGAGAGCACTCAATCTGTCCGGTCCAGCTCCACCCTGGCAAAATGCCAAACTCGGACCCGCAAATCAGCTTGCTGCCAGTGATTAAAAGGGCAATAACCTCACACCCTACATCTCGTATCATGCGTAGTAAATTATGTTATTTTGAAGGCTATCAACAAAATTTTCTGTTGTTGGAAATTTATGTAAGTTTCCGACAAATAATAAATTTTACGTTGTAACATGTGAAACGAAGATTGAACATTTAATTTTTATGGTAAAAAAATATTCCACGACACAAAACTTCGTAGCAACAAAAAATGTAAAAAGACGACGGAATTTTTTTTCAAAAGGAAGAGCACAAATATCAAACACATGAAATATTTTCTTCAATAAACAAAATGATCAGCATTGTCACTTGTATACGCAGGAGCTCCTAGAGAAAACACCAGGGTGGGTGGGCGTCTCATTTCAGTCAAGAGTCTCCCCCAAATTAATTTATAGAATTAATCTCTCCATAAAACAAAAATAATTTACAGCAGTTAATTTGAATTAGAAGTAAATACTTTTTTAATGTTATGAACGAAAACATTAAAAAATTCGGGGCCCTAATGAAGTAGGAGCTTGGAGAAAGTTACCCCAGCTCTCCCTTCGCCCTTCCCCTTTCAGGTAGCACTACGCACAAATATTTATCACGTCCCTAAAGTGATTAATTTAGAACTACAGTAACTACTCCCTCGTTAGCACAAACCCGCTTAACACTAATTTCTTTGTAACACGCACAGAACTTGGGCCCCGGTCAGGGATTACAGTAATGCGGACATTTATAATAATTGGATAACACGATCTCATATTGTTTCGGTCCCTTCGAATTCGAGGGATTACTGTAGAACAATGATTGGACTTCTTTACAAATAAGGTGAAATTACTACTTTATGAATTTTATATTATTTACTGAAGCAAAAAATATTACAACCAAGGCAAATAAAAAGTTACATCTAACACAACATCAATTTTTAAATGCAAATTAGAAGTGGCAAATGTTTACATTTTCGTGCACGATCTTTCAATGCTCCGAGCACAGGGACCTTGGATTGGTAAGCAACGCCAGTACTATCTAGTGGTGAATTACGGAACTAAAACGAGTAAAGCGCCTTCGAAAGATTATGATTATGAATGACAAGATTTTTAAACTTTATTTTTGTCAAAATATTGTTTATGGATTTTTCATTTATGGTTTCGTTTTTGTTTTGTTTGTTTATTTATTACTACCTTCAAAGAACTGTATTAACATTTCTTGTATTAAAATGCACAATTCTAATTAGAGAAGACTTTAAATTAGTGATTTAAAACGTTATTTTAATATTTCATCAGTTACTGAATATTTTTGTTTTCCAATTCTCGTCCTTACAAAATTCCATTGCACTAATTCAATATTCTCTAATTCCCGGCCTCACATATCAACTTTTAAAATTTAAATTCCAAATTTGACAAAGAAATTACCAAAATTATTTCATAGAAATGTTTATCCTTATAGGGCTACGAATGATATTTTGGATTAAACAATCAGGGGAGAATCAATATTTTGTGATTAACTTGGACATGCTGTAACACAATACGAATTCATACTGAACTTCAGATGTCTTTTATCTGTGGACCTTGATTTGATTCCTTTTAATTTATGGTTTTGTCCCAATGCTTTGACTGTGAGACAATGAGCTAACAGAATTTAAATGTAGTAAAATTTGATTGCAGAAGAAAAATATCATGAAAGGGGAAAGAAGTGACCCTATTTTTCCAAAATAATTCGTTGCATGGTTTTATGCCATTTCAACTGCAGAAATGCTACATTGAAAGTAAACTTTACATTTACTATATAAAAGCTAAACCCCTATGTCCTGTACAGGGGCAGATTCAGCTGATCATTCAAGGGGGGAGTCATCATAGATTCTTGTTAAATAATGAACATACTTGTTATTATATTGTATATTATTTTTTAATGTATAGATAATATCACACAATATTATTTTTTTAAACAATTGCATAAATATTTAGATCAATGTTTCCAAATAAAAGGAGGTAATAAACAAAATCTCTAGGCCTTTCGGAGAGAGCCATGGCCCTCATGATCCCCTGGGTCTTCCACTGGTCCCATACAGGATAGAACAAAAGGAGTTACTGACCTGACTGAGGCCGATGCGATAAGAAGCACCATCCACATCAATGCCCAGCAGCATGTCCTCCACAGCACGCCTTTCGTCCAGAACAGGGCTTGAAGGACGTCCATCAGCAGGTGCAAGTAATCTGAATCTTCTTTGGAATTCCGAGAGAGGCAAAAACTTTGGAAATCCTTGTTTGTGCAATCTGATAGCATCCAACAACTGAGCACCTCTCAGCTGCAAAAGAAAGAAATGAGACTAAATTAGGTAATTATGTATCACTGAGCTGCTTCTTTTTTATGATCTCATTACAATTCGGACAGATTGAACCTTACTGATGGCTAACCCTTTCATTACGATAATAACAAGTAAATATATAGAGTATACAATAACAAACTTCTTTATAAAGAAAAGACTCTCGAGTTTGGCTTGTATTAAACTATAACCCACACATTGATACACTCTTTCTCTACAATCAAAACTCTCTTTAATGAAAGGACTCAGTCCATTGAATCTCATTATAAAGGCTTACACTGTCATTAATTGTAGGTAAACTCTTAATTCAAATTGTTCCTAACCTGAGAACGTATCAGAGGTATATTGATAAGTGCTTCCTCTGGACTCATGTTGGCCATGGCACGACTTAAGGAGCCACCTTTCATGTCACAAGATCCTGCATTATGTTGTGGAAGGAAACAGTGCACAAAGTTCAACTTGGTTCTACGAAGAGTTTCAATAAGTCCATCCTGTAAGCAAAACAAATCTTCATTTCTATTTGTTGCACTAAAACAAAAGAAGTTTCATCAATCAAAAGTTTTAAATAACCTTTACATTATTCACATTCGCAATCTTGTTTTCAATTACAAATCTTACAGATTATAATTTTATAGACAAAATATAACTAATTACGTATTAAATGTCTTAAAACTAGTGTCAAAGTTTTAATGACACATCATACTTTTTCTGAATTTTACAACAATTTATACATGAATCTCAGTAATGTAGTGAAGAAATGTTTTTTCATATTAGAAAAAAATAGTATTTTTGTACGCATATAAAGTCATATTTACATCTTTCTTAGTAAAAGGTCATATTTTAGCCAATTTTTCTCATCACACATGTTGTCACCTGTTCAATTTGAACTATGACTCAGTGTAGTTTAAGGTGTCAAACGTAAAGAGCTCCAAGAACATGAAGCACCTGGGTTTTGTGCATGATTTCTTCAGCACTGTATTGTATTTATATTTTATTATTGTTCTTACTTATTGAAGTATTGGCTTTATATTATTGTTCTTACTGATATTTTGAAGTTTTTGCACATGTCTAATTAAGTTCTGGTTATTTTCAATGACTACATGCTTCGCAGCATGAGACACAACTCATGAGTACTTTACTCACAATTTGTTCTGGAACAAATTTAGTAATTTTGTTATAGAAAAAATAAACTTATTTGAGACCTTAAGGTCATATTTACACAAGTTCTAGGTCATAAATGCTACCATACTTCCCTGATATTTAGGTCATCAAAAACTGGGCTGCATTAATAACTACTCACTCTTGTTATCATAGTGGTAAATTTAATTAAGCAATGATTACCAATAAAATATTTCAAAATATAAGAAAAATTCATACATCCAATTTAAATGGTAAAATATTTAGGGAACATTATTATTAAAATTTGATGTCTAATAAAAGAAAAATCTTTTCAGAAGTTGAAATTGCAATTGTACAAAAATTTCATTGGTTTAGAAAAAAGTTATCCCTCCACTTCTATAATAAAAATTTAAAAAACAACAATACACAATTACTTACATAATAATTGTGAGTTGACAACAAAATTCATTGAACAACTATTTTTCCACAGAGACTCTTTTGAACCTAATTTTATACTAGTATGAAAAACAAATCTGGAATTTTAAACATACCACAGTGAACTTCACTTGCAGGCACACAGATTTACGTTTGATACCAGCAGTGCCAGTTGTGAAGGTTCTGCGGATGCTTGAGGCTCTTCTCAGAGATTGTGTACCTTCAATACCCACAACTGAGCCACCAAGAGTACTTGACACTCCAGTTCCACGGATGCTCATAAACAACTGGCCAACTTCCTCCCTGTGCATGGTAATATTGTTTCATTAGATAACTTTTCATTTGGAAATATATACCTTTCGTAGGAAGTTACAAGAGGAAACAATGTTTTATATAATGCCTCAATCCAGAATGCAACATAAAATAAAACTAAGCAGTTAATACTCTAATTTTCATATCAGAGTTCACGTTCAAATAAATAAAGTCAATGAAAGAAATTACTGGTAAGCGATTCTAAACTCTTACTTTGAGGATTCTTGTAAAATTGTAGCAGCACAACGAGCTATAGGATTCTCACGAGACACTTTCAACCAACCAGTGGCAGTGTATAAGACTGGATTTGTGCCTTGCAAGTGTTGAAGCACAAATTGGTTGTTTCCAGGAGCTCTTCTTAAGAGTAGTTGATGCTCTGCAAATAAATAAGCATCACATTAGCTGTTGTGATTTTGAATAAAAATAAGCTACTTTACAAACTTAGCAAAGTTGTATTGACAATATTTTAATGATTTACAAGTAAATTTTATGCAAGAATTTTCATAATTCTGTCTTTTCTCTTTCATCCTCCCTTGCTAATTTTATAGACAAATTTAATAATATCAATAGACATACATTTCAATTTTCATAATTCTGTCTTTTCTCTTTTATCCTCCCTTGCTAATTTTATAGACAAATTTAATAATATCAATACACATACATTTCCATGTGCATACTGTTTTAACTGATATTTCAATTCCTATAAGAACCTATCAACATAAAAGTGGCATAACAAAAGCAGTGTTAATCAATTACTTTCTTCATAATATTTTAACAGACTTTGTTGAATTTCCAATTTCATAGAAATTTAATGAGGATTTGAGTTTGTTATCATTAATACCCAGATGTTTAATTAACAGTTTATATAATTTTTTAGTTTTTGAACTGGACATTAAAATATTATTCCAAATATATGATATTCTCCTTGTTTTTATCTATATTTCTCTGCTCTTGTTTAGTTGAATAAGAAAAGTAACTGTACAGCAAGCATAGTTTCCACTTTCTTCACCACACATTTCCTAAAAAATAATTTCAAACAATTTTCATATAGAAATTTTATTATCAAACAAGACTAAATGAATTTATTCAATCAATTTATTTATAATTAACAAGACTGAATGAATAGCTTGTGAAACAAAATATATTTTAAGAAAACATTACCTCTGTCTCCATAATGGGCAAAGAGTCTTTCTAAGAAGCCCTCGTCACTGGCTGCTGGTTGCACAGCTTCCTCATCCAAAAGCCACAGCAGCCCCCGACGATCAGACTGACGCAAATCCGTCTGAGAGGAGCGAACAACAGCACTCTGAGCTGCTCTATCCATCATAGCCACCAGCCTTTGTGGAGAGCAGCCCTCCCCTTCACCCTCGTCCAAGTTTACGTCTATGTGTTCCTGCAGACACAATGATCATGTCATTTAATGCAGATAAACAAAAAGTGAAAGCTCCCCAAAATAATTTCAAAATATAAAATATTCAACTATGCTTGTTATGAGCAAATAAAGCAGAATACCCAATGTAAAAAGGTAGTTTTGATTCTTAGGAAAACGCTCATTCATCAAAAAATGATAGATATAGAACATTTCAATACAACGCTACTTTGGATTGAATTGGGGGAGAAGGTAGGGTATGAATTTCATTTGATTACAAGGAATGTGATTCTATTTTAGAATCTCATTAAAGAATAAGGGCATGATCAATGGATCTAATAGATACACTAGCATTCTTAATGATAGAACAACAAAATTTCATTAAATAATTTTCTCAAGAAACTTAGATAAAAACTAGTGAAAAAATTACTCTAAAAATCACTTGCTGTCAAGTAAGCATTTTAGATGGTACATGTGAAATGACTAGAAATACAGTGTGCCACGAAAGTCACTCCACACCAAGCTGAATCAGGGCCTCCTATTAAAAATTGTATTTATGTTGGTAGCAACCTGATCACTGCAAAACAAGAGTAGGAGACAACAGTTCATGTATCTGATGTGATGGTGGTGAGAGGTAGGCAATTTATATTTTCTTTTGCTCCAAGCTACAGCTTGTGCTGCAAACAAAATTTCTGTTGCTAGCACTCTCACCAGCAAGATCATCTGCGGAGAGACTTTCCTGGTGCACTGAATCTGTCTGTACAAAAATTCTTAAAAATGTCAAAGTTTATTATGAATAGGGCCTACATGTATAAAATTAGGAAGAAAAAATATGTAGACTCAAACCTGAGCATATCTATCCCTGGGAGCCACAAGCATTGTGTGATGGAAAAGTAGCTGGAGCCGTTCTTGCAAGTAGTTGTGACACAGATCTTCAAAAGTGGCACCTCCCTGCTGTCCACAAGATGCAGGATTTTGAAATCCAGGAGTATCAACAACAACTAATGAAGATACAGTGTGGATTGGAGCTGATATTGATCTGAAAAAAAAAAAGCACGTAATAATTACAACCACTTCTTCACCATAAACATATTTCATCAAAATTATCACGATAAAAAATACTTTTCATAGGAATAAATGCCTTACAATTTTAAAAAATCCACCAATGCAACATCAAGAAATAGATTTGATGAATTTTTATATAATAAATATCTGAAATAGAATTATGATCTTCCAAAGATACAATACTATGACCAGAAGACCTGACACTATCTGGCAAAAAAATATTCTTAGATAGCAAGGGAACTGAAATTACATAACAAGTTAAATTAAGAATTTTATAAAAAAAGAAATTTATGAACAGGACATGTCTTTGATATGCATTTTAAAAATTACAAATATAAATGCACTTAAGTCATACAGTTTACAAACTTATATGTAGAAATAATGCATTTGAACATTATCTACATATCCAACTGTGAAGTAAGAAAGTGAACCAGATATTGTAAAAAAAGAATTACACCAGAATAATTGGAAGAATGTAATAAAACTAAAGTACAAAATGAAGATGAGATACAAAAGAAAAAATATAATAATTGTTGAAAAATGTGATATGCATAAATACTTTAGAAACATTACCATATTTAGAACACAATATAATAGGCAGTTGAGATTAACTAATCCTCTGTATTTTAGATGGAACACATAAAAAAACAATTCTTTGAAGTAACTACCACAAATGTGGTGATATAAATGATCTGGATACAATCTTATTAGACAGAGGACTACATAAAAACCATATTAACATCAGAAGTTAACATAACAATGTAGATGAATAAAAATTAGTGATAAAGGAATGAACAAGCTTGATGTAATTATTTTCACTAAAACATATGAAACGAATTGCTGCAACTTATATGAGATTAGTCAATATCAAATATTTTTTGTGAATGGCAAAATTAATGAAAATTACAGTACTTGTATATATGTAAAAGAAACAAAACAGAAGAAACATAAAGAAATCAGTATTGGTACAATAAAAACCATATTTACCATTATATTGACAAATGTTGGATAGGTCAATATTACTTATCTTTATAAATTACAAGGACTGCCCGTTAAAGATTTCATTGGTGACCTATATGATTATATGCTAGAGCACATTAATTTGGAATATCATTATTTAATAGGTGACATGAATATTGATATTCTGAGACAAAACAAAATTGTTGATTACTATATCAGCAATTACTGTGAATCTGGGTACAAATTGATGAAAAATATCCAGACTATAGTAACTGAAAATTCTACGACATGTATTGATTTTATTTTTGTTAAACGAATAGATAATTTATTTACTTATTCACAGTAATAATGAATATTGAAAATAATGAATATTGGGTATTATTCTCCAAAATAAATGTCGTAATTGAAGGGTATTTGCATTATGATAATAAGCAAAGAAATAAGGAAAGAACACATATCATACCAATTAAATTTTCACCATTTTTCAGTTTCATTTTGCAATTATTTAAGTGTCAACAATTTTGAAGTAAAACTTTTCCAAAAGTTTTAAAAAATTTGAAAAGAAAAATGCATACTGAGAATATATATTTTTAAATTTCTATTACAGCTTAAAATTTTTTAATGATTTCAGTTCAATTTTATATGAAATTTTTAAATGTGTCTGCTTTTCATTAAATATTATACACAATTATTTCCTTTGAAGTAAATTCTTGTGAATCGTACCTGTTAATAAGGGCTCCAACTGCATTAAAAACTTCCCCATAGAGGCCTGTAACAAGACCTTCAAGAGCTTCCATTCCTGTCACCTCTCTGTCATTTGCTCTCTCAGTGGGTGATGGAGTTCGGAATGGAGTTCGAGGAGTGGATGGAGTACCAACAACTCCTTGACCTTGACCGAACAGTGTCCTTGCTAATTCTTCCACAGTGGTTCCTAGCAGATGAGCAGCATACTGTGCTGAGCGAGGATTTGCAAACTGCCATCGACCGCTACTGCTATTTCCAACTGTAAAAGTAATAATTCATTGGATTATCTAGGTCACAGTCCTTGACGATTATACACACTCTTATTAATGACAATTTAAACAGATACTCACCTTTTACAGCACCAGCTACACCTAAATGGTAAATTGCTGCAAGAGTGAACCACAGCACCTTTGCTTCTGACTGAGAAATACCTAGTACTTCCATTGCTCCTTGTACTCTAGTGAAATCTACTAAAGCCTTTTGTTTATCTTCATGCTGCAAATGTAATGAAAATATTTTAATTTATTTATTAACATTATTATTTTCCATCAGTGTCATATTAACTTAAAATCATGTAAAAGAATTTCAAGAATCATAAATAATTGTAAAACATGCAAAAGAGTTTTATTACTTTACTTCCTTAACTTGATGTGTTTCAGCCAAATGAAATAAGACATAAACAGAATAGATAGTATATCTCAAAGACTTCATTCCACAATAATCACAGTCAATTCAGAGAATGAAAAAATATCATTCATTGATATTCAAAGAAGCTTCAGTACTCAAATGTATAATTCATACAACTTACACAACAAACAACTTGAGGGGATAAATTCTTACCTTTTGAAGGGAAGTCATGAACAGATTTTGTTCTACTCCTATATTATCCAAGAACAACTCTTTCCTCAATGAACCTTCAACACCAGCAAGTAATCGATAAAAAATGTGGAAGGTAGGTTCACCCTGTGGTCTTCGAGATACCCTAGTTCTCTCCACCAACAGAGTCTGTAACAACACAGTAAACATTATTCTTCTAAACTGTATATCATTTACAAGCTGCGATTAATAGTTAATCTTTGAAACTTTAAATTATTTTTTCAGAATTTTTTGTCAGAATCCACTAGAGATGTTCACAATTACTACAAAATTTTCAAGAATAACTTTCTGAGTCCATTTTGTTTGCAAAACAGAATGACTTCAGTGTATATTTATAAATTAACAAATTATATTAAATCATATGTTTACATAAAAATATTGAAATAAACCAATAATCATAAATATGAACAATTTAAATATTGACTCACAGATATGACATAGTTACTAACTGAAAATTTCACATTGCCTGCATCAATAAGTATTTAAAAAGTTAAATTTGAAAGAGTATCAATTCCACTTACAAATTGTCTAGTTCAAATGAATAATAAAGACTTGAGAAAACCTTATTTAAGATATAAACCGCCAATTTAGGGTTACATCATTCTAGTTATCCACAGCCTCTTAAATTAAAAGAAGCAAGTATAAAATGGTTTTCAAAAATTAGGAAAAAATTAAATATTACTAAACATAAGGCAGACGAGTCTTGCCCTCAAAATTTTATTTTATCCCTACTCACTAGTGAAAAAATTACATCACAAGTAAATAAACTTATCACTGGTTCAGATCATAACTACCAGAGCAACAGATTATTTTAGGGTGAATATCATTTTTTGCAGTCTATAAAAATTCTACAATGGCACATGAAGAATCCCTGGAGAAAACAAATAACTCAGTCATGAACAACCTCACTAGGGAGGTCTCAATGAAGGAATTGAGGGCTTCAATTGAAATACAATTCCAAACTTGTGAGGAAAACCCTACATTGTTTCTAAATGTTACCAACTGAAAGCATTGTCTCTAGAGCTAATTTTACAAAAATATTTTGTTTTTAAAAAACAAATTTCTCACCTGCAGGGAAGCAGAAGCAATTTGTCCTGACTGATCAAAATCAAGACTGAAGATTTGGGTGAAACGTGTAGCATTGCTATTGAGTACAGTTCGACAGTTACCGAAGGACTCTAGAACAGTTCCAATTGCATTAAGCTTCTCAACTGTCATCACCTGTAAAAAAAAAAATAAAAAAACATAGTTAGAAAAAACACAAGTATGTTAAAACAACAGATTATATTTGTGTCATTATATGAGAATGGTTGCACATTTTAATTACATAAAATCAATATTTATTTACTATATAATTTATTCATTCAATTTGAAAATGTCCATATTTTTACAAAAAATTATTGAGAATAAAATGGAGAATTGTCATGTGAAGATACTAATGAACTAAATTCAAAATTAACTTTCTTATCTGCCAATCAGTTAAAAAACTCAGCACAAATGTGAAATAAAAGATTTTATTTAAATAATGGAATTTGATTTTATTTAATAAATACATGTTATATACGGTAACTGATTGTAGATGTCAAAACTGACTGTAGATATAAATAAGTCAAGTGAGTGAGTGTGAGTGAGTGAGTGAGTGTGAGTGTGAGTGTGAGTGTGAGAGTGAGTAGTGTGAGTGTGAGAGAGTGTGAGTGTGAGAGAGTGAGTGTGAGAGAGTGTGAGTGTGAGAGAGTGTGAGTGTGAGAGAGTGTGAGTGTGAGAGAGTGTGA